GATTTTTGCAGCAGAACTGTGAGTGCTAGATACATGAGGGAACAACAAACAGAATTGGCTGTTGGAGTTCCTTCAATTCTCTATCTCAAGAGTTTGAACGTTTAACTACCTCAGTGAAGCATAATTACCTTTAGATTAGTTCAGCAATGATTCCAAATTGCTTGGGCTATTTTGAAACACTTTTCTCTTAAAAATCCCTAAATCCTGATGATTCACAAGTGGATTTTGCATGCCATTTGAAGTCAGGGATTACGTTTAATTTGTTTCTTGATATGAGATCAGCATGCATATTTTCCTTATTAGCTCATTTTTATAGTTGAAGATTTTAATAAGATCTTCTGTAAAAATAGAGTTATCTCATTTCTATTATTAAATGATTTTTTTTTTTTTTTGGTCTATTTGAGACAGAGTCTCCCTGTAGTCCCAGCTGTCCTAGAACTCACTATGTAGACCAGGCTGGCCTTGAACTCACAGAGATCCACCTGCCTCTGCCTCCTGAGTGCTGGGGCTATAGGCGTGCGCCACCACACCCAGTTATTAAATGATTTTTAGAAGGCTGAAAGAGAACTTTGTTATGAAATTTCAAACATACCTTTGCACCTTATCTGGATGAGACTCACCTCATGCCCATGGTATGGAATACTTTGCCATTTTCATAAAACCAAAGATATTTTTGAGATACCATAAAATGTCAAAGAGAGGAAACACATTTTTAAAGAAAGAATAAAAGCACCTTTGACTGTTTTTGTTCAAGTTTCTGTAAAACATTCCCAACTCAAACAAAACAAAACAAAACAAAACAACAAACAAAGCAGAGCTTGGTGGCCCACGTCTTTAATCCCAGCGCTCAGGAAGCAGAGGCAGGTTGAGCTCTGTGAGATCCAGGACAGCCTGAAGGACATTGCAAGTTCCAATCCAGCTAGGGTGACAGGGGGACCCTGGATCAAAAAACAAACAAACAAACAAACAAACTCACTTTATTTTTTGTGATTCTCTCTTTATAGTAGAATCTGAATACTTTTTTTATAAATCCCTAAATATTCAAATTAGGAAGATACACAATTTAAAGAATAGGATAAATGAATCTAAATAATAATAAATGTCAGAGTAATCCAAGTTTTTCCCAGGATTTTGAAATTTCTTTTACTAGTGATTCTATTTTGTATATCTGTTAACTTCTAGAGGGCAAAAATCAATTGTAGTTAATTCTAATTCTGAAGGAGTGCAACTTTCCCAACTAAGAATAAATGTGATACTTTAATTGTACATCTTTCTTCACTACGAATCACGAAATTCACTACCTACTTCGATAAATCTACTATTTTGTCATAATTGCAGATGAAATTTAAGGATGACGGACCCAAAGAAACTTAGTTGTTCCAACATTTGTTGGTAACTGTTTATTCTTCAATGGCCATAGCAAATTACCATGTCTCTCTCAGATAATAGCTTTGTTAATTTCATAGAAAATACTGGTTTTTAAGAAATTTAGTGATCCACTTTGAATGTGACAGAGTCACTTCACTTAAATTAAGCATTACAAAAATATACACAGAGCACTTTTATTTCAGACAACAAGACAGAGAGAACATACTTATACCTCTAGAACAAGCTGTTTATTTTGCTTTAAATCCTTGTCACTTTTGTGAAGATTTTATAGGTACTTTTTCTTGAGAGTTACTCTTTGGCTCTCAATTTCAAAAGTTTAAAACTTTAAGAAAAATATATAGGACCTAAAATGTAAAAATCCTATTTATGAAAAAAGTCTCTTTTAATGTCTATAAATAAATATATAACGATGCAAGCTTTTTGAGTGTTGATCTGACCAGAATGGCAAAACCAAAAGGTAACAGTAAAAAACAGAGAGACTAGAGTAAGCCCTGTGTGCTTCTTCGGTACTCAGAGAGAGGCTTTAAGTTTCTCTGTAGAAGAAACTTCTTGGGACTAATGGGATATGAGATTTGAGTGGAGTGCTGAGGAAGTGAAATGAACACCTCCCTAGAATTTAGATGAGTTTTTTATGTCTACTAGCTGGATGATTTTAAACGCATCTATGCAGGTCAAAAGTGAACAATATTTACAGGACTTTTTTTATTTCCTGGTATTTTTATCTTTAAGAATATACATGTAATTATGACTATAATGTTTCAGATTTTGACTATTTTGTGGCTTATTAATATGTAAATCTCCCTTAGAATTTCATATGTCCTAAGGTTCTTTGACACTTTTACTGTTTTGTTATAACGATAATTTCATTAAATAAATTGAATAAAAGGGAGCTGTTCATAATAAACATTGGAAAAGACTGTTAAATAAAGAATACAAACACTATAACTATTTGGGTGAATTTATTTCTTAAAGGGGTGTGAGTAAACAACAAAGCTATTTCATTTGCTTAGGAAGATTGATCACATATGTAAATATATTGATAAATTAAAGTTAGGCTTCTTTTTTTGTTTTTTTGTTTTGTTTGCATGTTTGTTTTGAGGTACAGTCTCCCTGAAGCCCTGTCTGCCTAGGACTCTCTTTGCAGACCAGTGTGGACTTGATCTTACAGAGATCACCTTGCCTCTGCCTCCTTAGTGCTGGGCTTAAAGACCTAGCTATCATGCCCTTCTCCAGCCAAGATTCTCAACGTCAGGGAAAGGTCTTTTAAATAAATAAAAAAGGAAATATAGAATAAGTTCTGAGGATCTGGATTGAAGTCAGAGGTATCACTATGGACTCACTTTTTAAAAAAAATTGTTATTGGCATAGTATAGATAGACAGAAAGTTTAGTAAAACAGATGTGGGTGTACAGTAGTTAATAAGTGTATGCATATGTCCTAGCTCTATCCACTGACAAGGATAGAACAACATGATATTCTAGTAGCTCAGAGCATAACTAATTTCCCAGGACTTAATTCTTAGGCCCTATTTTCTAACTAAAGGACAGGGGAGTTCCTTGGTTGGGTCCAGGGTTAAGGAGGGGAAACAAATGAATAATTTGGAGTATCTTTTGGCTACAGAAAATAATAAAGTATTTTTATAGATCTTAAAATAAGTGCTAGAGAAATGTCTCAGTAGTTAAGAGTGCTTGTACAGTGGTTCAGTTCCCAGCACCCACTGGATGGCTAACAACCACCTGAAAATCCAGCTCCAGGTGATCCATCATGCTCTTCTGGCCTTCTAAGGCATTGGATGCACATGGTGCACTTAAATGCAGGGAAAACATACACATGAAATACAAATAAATAAAACAACAAATTAAAAATTTTAAAATAAAAAGAATTTTTGTAGGCAGTATGGCAACTCAGCTTTACTTTGATAAAATTGTCACAACTTAAGATGAAAATTCATGATTTGATAAAGAACTGTCATAGGTGGGAGAAGGTTCACAAGACAGTCACTGACTGGATGAGAATGTACACAGAGTGGTAGTGAACATGTCTGTTTTTAGCTCCATTTTTATGTCTGTGTAAACGGAGTCATAGAGAAGTAAAATAGGTTCCCCAGTACTACACAGCTTAGAAGGGGCAGAACAGAGATCCAAAGCCAGAGACTCAGGTTCTAGGGAATAGCTTAAAAACTCAGAGAAACTAGTATCCCTGGCTGTGAAATCAGAACACCTGGAATGTAAGGTCCTGGGAAGACAAAGATGAAGCAGTTAACTGCGTACAGTTCTCAGGTTTCTCACCAGATAAATGAGGGTGGACTAGAATCTGCTGCTGTTTCTTTTAGAGTGGTCTTGTAACTGAACAAGCTAGGAGTCATGAAATATAGCAGGTGCACTTATGTATGCAGCCATAGATGCTCTAAAACCCTTTTCTTAATTTAAACTCTCTAGAGTAGGAAATGAACTAAATTGTTATAAATCTAATATCCATCTAAGGAAAATGAATTTTCAGCTTACTCGTAACTTTAAAAGTTCAAGGAACTTTCGTTTTTTGGACTGTAAGCCTATATTATACTGACGGGTTGGTTTGCATTGAATATTGATTCTGTTTCTTCTGACCTTCCATTTTCAGAGTGACACAAAGTCTTCCAATGGAAGAAGTGTTCTAATTTAAGACTAAAATAATTCTGATGGATCTACGTGGAACAATTCCAAAAAAACAATGGTGTTAACTGAGACTAATAAAAAATTTTGTTTTCCCCATAAACCATACCTTAGAAACAACCAATGTGTCAATACCAAAATCAATTTGAGAAGGATCTACCATAAAATTAGATTTTTCACCCAAAATGTATTGTAACAAGAGGGCATTCACTCTGCCTTCCTTCCTATGTAGATACTTTTCATTTGAATGTAAAAATGATAGTGTGTTGTGAAGCCAAGAACATAATATATATCAAGCTAAATGGCTTTCAAGATCAAAGGATTGAATTTCAATTTAAATGTATGGATTTTTATTATAAAAGCAATTTATCTGGCTGAAAAATAGATTGAGACATTCTGTGTTCTTTTTTATGTAAGAACTTAGAAAAGTATATACTTAAAATTGTCTAACATTTTGAATACATAAGAAGAAAATGTCTCTGGATAGATTTTTTTTAAATGTGCTAGTAGTATACTGCCTTTGAGCCAAAATGCATTAATATTTTGTTTCTTCCCTCTGTAAATTTTGGTTGAAAGATTGTTCATTATTGTTGAATTTCAGTATGATTACAAATTAAATGATGCAAAACTCCATAAAGTAAGATACACAAAAGACCAATTAGCATGTTATCTCAGTAAGTACATAGAAGAATGAGAGAACATGCTGTTCTGCACCATAGCATATAATTAAGATGTAGTAATAAATCAGGGAAATATTATAACTTGTTTAGGTGCACAGGTGGCTTTTAGAAAGATTGATTAGTTCCTTTTGCCCCCTTGAGATGAGAGTTGATAGTTATTCCTACTAATTGAGCAAGAACATTTCTTCACGCTTCTCGCAGCATGGATGCTTTCGAACAAACAGTGTGTGGGAGACAAGTGTCTGCAAAGGGCTCATCTCCTTGCTTGTTTCCCTTACAGACGCTCTCTATGATGTCATCACTGTGGGAGCCCCAGCTGCCCATTTTCAGGGATTTAAGAATGGTGGTCTTCGAAAACTACTCCATAGATTTGAAACTGAAAGAAGGAAGTAAGTAAAGACAGAAGGAAGACAAATATTTCATTAATAATACGATCTTCTCTTTGAATAAGCCTATAGATAAGATTAGTAAAAGGAAAACTGGTTCATGTTAATGAATGGTTCTTCGCATGTCAACCCATTGGGTAACTGGAAGTTGTTGCATTTCTCTATATTAATTTAGAATAGACTAGAACAAATGCATGAATGGATTGTCTGAGGCTCTGCTAGTAGGACATTGTCCTGGAAGCCACCCTACTCAGTGCATGTTAACACACACACACACACACACACACATGAATATCACTACAAGGTGATATTCTAGAATCACCCTAGCTCCGATAAGGAGTGATGTTCAGGGATGTAGCTTGAAGTGTGATCTAATGTAATGGTGGAGACTGACACCAATTGAAGAGCACAGGTCCTATTTTATAATGCTGATCTTTCTGGTGATTTCCACTATGACTAAGGCAGAATATAAAACTGCCCTCTCCTTTGAGGGTTGTTTGAAAAGAAACCGTCAGGTGATGAGACTAAGAAAACTTTGTTACTTAGAAATAAAAAATCATACCATAAAACTAAAATATGATCTCTTTTTATAATTTTATTTTGCCATTTCTCCATTTTTGGTTGTTAGCTAATTTTATTTTATTTGGGAGGGGGTTGAGACAGTGTCCCCCTGCAGTCCTAGCTGGCCTGGAACTCGCTAGGCAGACCAGGCTGGCCTTGAACTCACAGAGATTTGCCTGCTTTTGCCTCTGGAGTGCTAGGACTAAAGGCATGCACCACCTCACCCTGCCAGTTGTTAGCTACTTTTAAATACTGCTTACTGAAGTTTCTGCTTCAGTAATCTATCCCCTCTTCCATTTTACTCTATTCGTGTGAGCTTCTCTTGTAAGATTGTCTAGCTACAAGTACATTCCTGTAAGCTAAAAAGATGATTGCTGAGATGAGAACAATTATTTTCCTTCATAAATAATTATTCTTCTTGGACTAGGAACCAACAAATTGAAAGCTATAGGGAAAAGTTTGTGTGCATGTGTGTGTGTGTGTGTGTGTGTGTATGCGCGTGCGCATGCACAGGTACTCTGGATAGCTTCAGTTGTCATTATGAAACACCTAAGAGGCAGCCTGAGTCAGGCAATTTTCTCTATCAGACTGGCTCCATGGGCATGTCTGTGGAGCATTTTCTTGAGCGTTGATTGATGTGGGAGGGCCCAGTCCACTGTGGGTGGTGGCACCCCTAAGCAGATGCTCCTGGGTCCTGTAGAAAAAAAAAAAAAAAAAAAAGAGTCAACTCGGGACAGAGGAACAAGTCAGGAAACAGCATTCTTCTGTGTTCTGTACTTCAGCTGCTGCCCCCAGGTTCCTTTCCGGTTCCTGCTTCCCTTGATGCTGGACTGTGAGCTGTATGCCAAATACACTCCAAATCGGCTTTGTTCAGTGTTTTAACACAGAAATAGAATGTAACTAGGACATTGTTCAATTGCAGTTAGTTTAATAACAGTATTATAAAGTTTGTATTAGTAGCAGTTTCATCTCATTTGTCACAAGTAACATTTGTGTTTGTGGTACCAGATGCTTAGGAAGGAAGCATTTTAAGCGAGATAAAATTGAATAGTGCTATCTCCAAACACATATATTCTTCCTTTTTATAAACTTCTGATCTTATCCTTCTATTAACTGAGCTATAGTCCTTATTTTTATTCTCCATTTATTCATTATTCTGGGAGGTCTTATGTTTCTATAAAACAGTATCACATGTGTATATTAGAGTACTATCACAAGAATCATCATATATGTCTGTCCCTCATCACCTAGAAAGTCCCCCATAGCCACACACTTCCTCCAAACTTTTCAGCTGTAGAAAGTGGCTCCGTTGCCTGATGGCTGTAGGAAGTGAAAGTCAGATTTCCAGTATAGGTTCTGCAAGGGAAGAGCTTCTCTCTCTTTTTGCCTAACAGTTAGAAGTCAGTTCTAGTTCCAGACTGCATGGTTAAGGACAGGTTTCTTCCCATGGTCCCTACTGAGGAGAGGTGTTTCTCACTGACCTCATTGTGCAGCATCCTCTGGTTAGGAGAAGATCACGATATTTTGTGGTGCTCATCTCCAGAATAGACACATCTGGCTGAAAGATACAGACTTCAGTCTACCATTTTCCCAGTTCTTTGACTTTCCTTTGGGTATTATCTTGTTATCGTTTTTGTTGTTGCTGATATTTTTCTGCTCTGAGGTCTTTTCTGAAATCCAAATTACAGCGTAAGGCAAAGGCCAAATCAGAAAGAAACTAACTGCCCTGCTGCTTCTCAGGGCCTGAGGCCCCTAGCCAATCTGTTTTTTGTTTTTTTTGTTTTTTTTTTTTTGTTTTATTGTTTTTCCCCTCTACCTTTTAGGGTTTCTTGTATGACAGATATATTTTTTTAGCTTCCTTTATTTTTTTTTTTTTTTTTTTTTTTTTTTTTTTTGTTTGATTGTTTTTCCCCTCTACCTTTTAGAGTTTCTGATATGACAGATATATTTTTCTAGATCACTTTATTGTGGTTTGCAGAAGTTAGACAGTATTTCAGCCATTCTGTCTAGGACTGGAAATCTCTACCTTGAGAATTGGTTTAATCATTTTGTCTTGTTTTGTTCATCAATCAAATTTTACAGAGAATAACAATTAAAAGATGCACACTCTACACAAGCTGTTCAGAATACAGCTTAGCACAAAGCACCAGTATTTGAGATGAGCCCAATCCTATAATGTATAAATTATCATTGTATACTCTTGGCAAAGACAAAGGTTGAGTTATGTCATTGGACCCTGAAGAATACTGAAGATCAAATATCTGCATGCATACATATGAATTCCTAACTACTCACTTTTCATGGCAGCATTACTTATAAGTGCATAGCTCCAGGATTAAATCCAAGATAAAAGTAAGAGAAGTATATGTCCAATACTTGTAACATTGCTTTCTTTGGGCTATTGGTGAGTTAGTTATCCCATCTTTTTATTGTTTTGCTTACAGAATGTGATAAAACAACAATTGATTTAGTATGGCTCTTCAAAGTAACCTTCCATAGACCAATATTTGGAACAACTATAGCTGGCTTGGGCAGTATGTAATTGAATATGCTATAGGGCTACCTATTGAGACCTGCCTTGAATAAAGATTTAACATCTGAAGAGCTATAACACCATCCCAATATGATTCTGAAGCCTTTATTGATGAACAGATGTATTTGTCAGTTAAAGATAGTATAATGAAGTATATCATAGTATATAAAGTGAATCTGTAGAAGTTTACATTGCATTTTGCAGGACAGAAAAACACCTTAAATGATGAAATGCTTGCCTCTTCTTTGCCTTGATACATGCCCAAAGACAGATATTTTAAGCCATGATTCAGGGGGAACTACAACTGTCTCTCTACTATTTCACCTTCTTCTGTTTTCGTCTCAGCTCTCCTGCATAGTCTTAACTATTCACTTGATATATAGCCTAGAGTCATCTGGTGGTAGACCCTCAGTTGAGGAGTTGCCGGGATCAGGTTAGCCTGTGGTCACATCTGCTAGGAAATTGGTTTGACTGTTAATTGTTGCAGGAGGGATTATCCCACTGTGGGCAATACCATCTGTAGGCAAGTGGTTCTATGGTATACAATGCAGATAGACGAGCATGAGCCTGCAAGGAGGCAAGGGAGCAGTGTTCCACTGCTCAGGCACCTGCCCTCTCACTTTGCTAAAAGGTCAACTGTGACATGGAAATGTCAATCAACCAGATACATCCTTTCCTTCCACGACTTGCTTTTGATCACAGTATTTTATCACAGCAGTAGAAAGGAAACCAGAAAATCAGATAAGCCAAAAGCTGTCATCTAAGAATAGTTATGATTTATGCTTCTATTTCTTTTTCTTTTTTTGTCTTTTTGAAGCAGGGTCTCCTGGAATTTTTGAAGCTGGCCTGGAAGTTGCTATGTAGACCAGGCTGGCCTTGAGCTCACATAGATCCACCTGCCTCTGTCTCCCAAGTGCTGGGATTAAAGGCATGCACCACCATGTCTGGCATTCTTCTGTTTCTTAAAGGTCTATTTTTTATTAAATACTATGGCTATAATATGAAAGGTTTTAATATAAGAAAACCTTGCTTTAAATATTCTTATCACAAAGTCAGATTACACACACACATATATATATATTACAAAATATATATGCACATGCATATGTATATATGTATTATATTGGTCTTTTGAGACAGGGTCTCCCTGTAGCCCCAGGTGGCCTTGAACTTACTGTGTAGACCAGACTGGCCCCCATTTCACAGAGATCCACCTGCCTCCACCTCCAGACTGCTGAGATTAAAGATTTGGGCCACCATGTCTGGCTCATGTGTGTTTGTGTGTATGTGTGTATGTGTGTGTGTGTGTGTAAATTATATACACTTTATTTAGTTATTTTTAAATATTTTATTTATTATTTTTATTTTATGTATGAGTGTATTGCCTGCATGTAGATAGATACACCCATATCATGCAGTGCCCATGGAGGACAGAAGAGGGTGTTGGATTCCCTGGAACTGGAGTTTAAGGACAGTTGTTAGCCACCATGTGGGTACTGGGAATTGAATCCAGGTCTTCTGCAAGAACAGTGAGTGCTCTTAACCACTGAGCAATCTCTCCAGCCCCCAAATATATATTTTCAAAGCTGTAAGCTAATGAAGAGGATGGATCTCTTTAAAGTACAAATGCCTGAGTGGATTGGTCCAATTCTCAGGATCTTTTTGCCTTTATGTGTTGAGTGTATGCTCATGGACTGCCATGCTATAGCATTCCTGTGGAAGTCATAGGACTATGTGACTCCACCATGCAGGTACCAGGGATGAAACTCAGGTCATCAGGCTTGGCCGTAAGCACCTTTTACCCACTAAGCACCTAACTGGCCCAATTTTCATCTCTTGAATTTCAAATTTCATAGAAAATCAGATTTTTGTCAGAAATTTCATCAAATAGAGTCATGACCCAAACACA